GAGACCTATAATATATTGATGAAAAAGAGTATAATAGAGATCTTTAAGAACAATTAAAACAGGTCAGTGCTTTGATGAGACCACAGGTCATGGCTCTGGTTCCCTGCTGGAGAGAGAGGTCTGACAGTGAGGTAAAGCTGTGAAAATTATCTTTATATAAAATAACATTAAATTCTATTGTTTTTTTTAGATATTCAAAATAAATGTTGATGCTGCCCCGTTAACAGCGTGATTCTAACAACCAACAGATTATTCACTTAAAAGCAGTATTAAAGGTGGGGTAAGTACGTTTGAGAAACCGGCTCGAGATACACTTTTTGTTATATTCCATGGAATGCTCTTAACGTCCCGATAGCAATGAATATCTGAAGTGCTTTGACAACAAATCCATAAAAAAATTTCATCTGTGGAAGCCGTGGCGCTGTAAAAACTACGACCAATCATCTGAGCCGGCCCGGCTAAAGTAACTGGATGGCCTACCTGCCTGTCAGCCTTACATCTGTGCACAAACCTATCTCGTGCCCTCATTGGTCATGTGCGCGTTCGTGTGTGTTGGAGGAGGGGCTCTGTAAGGAAGTCTGAAGGAAGTGGCAGATTTTCTCCGGTCGTGTATTTTCAAATTCTAGTTCACTCAAGCTGGTTTCTCCAAAATTACCTACCCCACCTTTAATGCAATAGTCGTTAACACATAGGTATCATTTTTAAATAAAGGAGTTGTTGTATTTTCAGGGTTATGAAGCTAAGCACTGTGGAGTTATCAGCTGTTCATACCTTCATCAGCAAGCTGCTCCTCGTTGGTCGGTGAGATGATCTGTAATTTACGGTAGGACACCTTGACTCCTGCAGACAATCAAAAACAAACTTAGTGATCGGAGCTCCTTTACGAGACTTTTCAGGACACTTGATGACTTTCACATTTCAATTTCATATCCTGGGAAGTAACTAAGTACATTTACTCAAATATATAAAAATATACTGAGGTACAATTTCCCTTTTATGCTACTTTATACTTCTTTTCCACGACATTTAAAAGGGAGCAGTGTGATTTTACTCCACTACATTTATCTAATAGCTATTCTTAACAAAATGCATCTCTAAAATTAAACTCTTTAAGTCATGAAAGAGTCAAATTACTTAAATATGTTACAAAAAGTAAATCATAACTGTGTTTGTTCACAACAGTAAAATGCTAAGTGATGCAACAATATTATCTAGAAAATGTTACATATATAAATATAATTATACACACACATTTTGCAATTGTTCTGCACAATGATAACTTCTACTTGTTATACTTTCATTACATTTGGTAGTACTTTTGTATTTAAATAAGATTTAGAATGCAGGACTTTTACTCGTAATGAAGTATTTTGACAATAATGTTTTTTACTAAAGCATCTGAATACTTCTCTCACCACTGGTTATATCGTTATCTTTTGACTTCCTAAATAAAGAATAATACCAGCTCCCAACATGCTAAATTTACTTCACTTTTATTTGTGAACTTTTTATCCAATTTACCTTAAAATGCTGTCTCACCTTGAACTGTTAGATTCCTATGTCCTGAAGTGTTGTACTTCTTGCCGTTGTGTGTCCAGGTGCAAACGCAGGTGTAGATTCCCTCGTCCTTTTTCTTAGCATTTTCAACCCAAAGAGTGTATTCATTTTGACCATGAAGGGTCTTGTTGTCCTGAAGCCGGGGCACAAATGAAAGGAGGAGAACAATTAAGCGTGTCATAGGAAAGGTATTTTAAAAAAGGACAGAAGATAGATTTATGTAATAATCCCGTTCAAAAAATGAAAAACAGAAATAGGATTCAATCTTTTTTGCAATATTCTTTTGTTTACATGTCAGTATATGTTGCATTGAACATAATCGTAATGCAAAAATAGGGAAATGAATAAAATGTTTATATTGGGAGGGAAAAAAATCCCTATTTAGTGATTATCAATTGAGGAAAATAAGATGTGTTTTCAAAGCTTCAATGTTTTGATTAAATACAGATGCATGCACACACAAATAAATAATATAACTCAGCACAGGACAGGTACATCTTTACTTATAATTAGTGCTTAGTAATCCACAAAATTGTTGAAGCTAATCAAAATGTATCTGTGAAAAATGACAGCGAAAATCAAAACAAAAAAAAGAATGGAACTGTTTTTAAATGTAGGTTTACTTAATCTGTTAAAGGTGGGGTACGTAATTTATTTCAGAAACATTTATATTCCATGGAATGCTCTTAACATCCCGATAGCAATGAATACATTAAATGCTTTGACAATAAATACAGTAAAAAAAAGGAAGAGGCAGATTTTTTCCGGTTGTGTATTTTCAAATTCTAGCGCACTCGAGCTAGTTTCTCCAAAATGACCTACCCCACCTTTAAGTAAACCTAAATTACCTAAATTACCTAAAAACTGGTTAATCTGTTCACCAGTTTCGAACATTTGGGTCAAAAGTGCATATTTCTCTTTTATAACCTATAAACATACTTTCTATTCACACACAATGCAGGTACCTTGTTCCAGGTGAGTTCTCCTCTCAATGTGGTACATGTGTGGCTGACATGACTTGGGCATCTGACCTTTTTGGTAATGTCAGAGTTAATGATAGGTTCGAAGACGAATTTCTTGAGGACGTAAACTCTTATTGTATAGTTTGTACACTTCCCTGATGATGTGTTATGCCTGAGGGGAAGAAATAGATTGATTCAAAACCAGGGAACATGTTTACAGATAATTTCTGTGGAGAAAAGGTCGATCAAGAGTCAATTTTAGTATCCTCACCGGGTGCTGTACAATCCAGAGTCCTCGGGGAGAAGGTTTAAGAAAAAGAGAGATCGACCGTGGTAATGCACGGTCTCATTTTCGTCAGCAGTGATCTCAGTCTGGTTATTATTGAACCATGTGATCTCTTCATCGGGCACGTTGATGTCGAGATTGTCATGCACAAAATGAAACGCCTCCCCTTCATTAAGTTTGCGAGTTTTTGTGTCAAGTTTGTGACATCCGGGCTCTGCTGTCTCTGAAAATGTGGAGAAAAGATGGAAGAGATGAGCTTTATGAAGATGATGGTATTCATCTTTCTTGGTCGTGTAAATGTACAGGTAGACCGGCTTTTCATTATTAGAGTGTTGATTAGAGTGAAGGACAAATTAATGAAAAAGTTTATAAAATACGAAATGCTAGCTTTACAACAAATAGAGTGGTGCAGTAAGGATGCGTTTTTGTAGGCCTTGACAAAAAGCAATGGGATTTTTCCAATGGATTTTGGAATAATGCACAAAAAAAGCTCCTTGGCCAACACAATCTTATGATGCTTAACAAGTTCTGGTGCCACTTTGTTATTTTTGAAGCTTAAAAGTAATCGGCAGAAGTAAAAAGCTAAAGCTGGGCTATAAACAAACTACAACACGGCTGTGCATCACCACAGTATGTACCTGCTTTGGACTTGCACTAGCACAACAACATGTGTATATGTATAAACAGCTTTTACCTAATTGTTATTTTATAGTATACTGTTCAATCCAGCCAGTGCAGTCAAGTCAAATCCAAAACAAATTCTTCAAAATCTCTGATAATGAGGGTTTAACGTGTTTAATGTATCATATTGATTTATACTTTATACTTCCGCCACGTCCTCTAGGAGTGTATTAACTGGATGGGTGGGTCGATAACGTGGTTGGAGTAAACAGATCATAATATTACCCTACCTGAACATTCAGATGTAGTTATCACCATGTAGACGAGGAGGAGAAGTCGGGAAGTGTCCATGTTCTGAGAGACAGAGTGAATTCAGAGTTAAACCACATGCACCCCCCCCACACACCGATACCATCATGATCCTTTTGAAATGAGTCTTGTAGGACATTTGCAGCCGGATGTTGACATTGCCTTTATTAAATTCGCCTGGTATAGTTTATCTGTATGACCTTTCTTTGCATAGTGGATACACTAGGACTTCTTAATTACCTGGAGAATATATCTTGTGTTTTAAGGACATAAAACATGGTTTCCTGTGTATTTGAAAGAGGCCCTATTATGATTTTTCGGGTTTTTCTTATCCTGTAGTGCAGGGGTCGGCAACCCCTGGCGGGACCGTAAACCAGTGGCACACTAGGAATAAGTGTGCAAAAATATTTAAATTGTATTTTCGGATCCTGAACGAGACCGCCGGCAGAGCGCGTCTCCCCCTGCACAAGGAAGCCATGCACGCAACGCAGCGCAGAAGGATAACTTCTATGCCCCGCTCTCTTTAACTCCAGTCGACTCTTCTGCTGCTTTCCTCCATGGTGAAACGATCAGGGGTGTAGCGCACTTCACACATTGCAGTATAAGGAGCTGTACATGCCGCAGTTTTTGCGTGGATGTGTCTTTAGTTGAAAGCCCAGTGGCGATCTGCTCATCTGTCATCGAAAATAATATGCTGCACAGGGGCGGACTGGCCAACTGTGTGTTCTGGAGAATCACTGTACGTCTGGTAATATGGAATATTTTTCTTTAATGCCAAAATGTGTTGACGAATTGCAAAAGTCACGAATGAATTGTAATAAAAATACATTTAAAAAATAAGGTTCTCTTTTTGTCTTGAGCTTTTTAGTACCTCCGTACCGAGCCGGCGGGCCGTTGACGACCAGGCTCGGGTTACGCTGACGGCCGGCACCGCCCCTTAATTTATTTAAATGTGTTTAAACGGCATCATGTAAGTTGCGCTGACAGGCGACAGAGGTCCACAGCTTCCCCGCAGCGAGGCTCCCCCCGTTGACAGGTAACGAGCGTCG